GGCAGGGCATTGCCAATGCTTACATTACAGTCACTTCGGTTAGGGTGGTGTCCTGGGCAGGAAGCAGGAGGAGAAGGGGGCAGAGTCGTCAGAGGAGCTATAGGTCCACCTCCCTGGTTGCAGCAAGAGCAGCTCTGCTCTTATACATTTGCCTCTCAAACCAAAATACACTAAAAGCCTCTGGTCTCAAATACTGTGACCTTACGAGCTTCCTGATAAAATTATCTGTGGGAAGATTACAGATGAAGCCATTGTTAGCCATTACTGCAATAAAAGGGTTGTCTACCAAGAGAGCTGAGGTTTGGAGAGAGAGAAGAAACAGGAAGAGAACACACACAGGGCCACTGGTGGGAAACTAGAGGGGAGGCGGCCAACAGAGCACAGGGAGGGAGGTGGCAGGAGGGAAAACATCCACGGATCTGCCCTGCTTTGTAAGTGAAATAAGCCAGACAGGGAAAGACAAATTCTGTATGGCATCACTCACATGTGGAATTAAAAAGAAAAATTCAGGCCGGGCACGGTGGCTCATGCCTGTAATCCTAGCACCCTGGGAGGCCGAGGTGGGTGGATTGCTTGAGGTCAGGAGTTCGAAACCAGCCTGAGCAAGAGCGAGACCCCCGTCTCTACTATAAATAGAAAGAAATTAGTTGGCCAACTAATATATATAGAAAAAATTCACCAGGCATGGTGGCGCATGCCTGTAGTCCCAGCTACTCGGGAGGCTGAGGCAGGAGGATTGCTTGAGCCCAGGAGTTTGAGGTTGCTGTGAGCTAGGCTGATGCCACAGCACTCACTCTAGCCTGGGCAGCAAAGCGAGACTCTGTCTCAAAAAAATAAAAGAAAAAAAAATTCAAACTCATAGAAACAAGACAGTAGAAGGGCGGTTGCCAGGGCAGGGGTGGGGGAAATGGGGTGATGTTGGTCACAGGGCACAAACTTTCAGTTGTAAGATGCGTACATGCTGAGGATCCGATATGCAGCATGGTGACCAGAGTTAATGATGCTGTATGACATACTTGAAATGTGCTAAGGAGTAGATCTTAAGAATTTGCACCAAAAAAAAAAAAAAAAAAAGAAAAGAAATACAGGATAACTATGTGAGGTGATAAATGTGTTAATTAACTCGATTGTGATAATCATTTCACCATGTACACGTATAGCAAATCATCACATTTAAACTATAAAAATATACAATTTTTTGTCAATTATTCCTCAATAAAGCTGACAACAGAACCCAACAAAAATCTGTCCCTTCCTTAACAAGTGGCCTATGCTAGCCCTGGCCACAGAAACTTATTAGGTAAGGCTCACATACCAACATCACAAGGTAGATTTTTTTAGTGGAGATTTGAATAAAGATTGTGTAGAAATATATTTACTGATATGAAAATATGTCTGATGTATTTTGTTTAAATGGAAATAGTTCTTAACAAAGGAATATGCACAATATAGATACATACATATAAAATATTCCCCAATATTTTTTTACAATGAGCACATTTTGTTTTTTGTTTGTTTGTTTTTTTTATTTTTTAAATTTCAGCATATTATGAGGGTACAAATGTCAAGGTGATGTATATTGCCCATGTCCCCCACCCCCTTTGAGGCAGAGCTTCAAGCGTGACCATCCCCCAAACGTTGCACATTTCACTCATTATGTTTGTATATACCCATCCCCCCTCCTCCGTCCTCCCTCCTCCCACCCGCCTGACATCTGATAAATGTTACTCCTATATGTTCACTTAGGTGTTGATCCATTAATATCAATTTGCTGGTGAGTACATGTGGTTCTTGTTTTTCTATTCTTGAGATACTTCACTTAGTAGAATGGGTTCCAGCTCTATCCAGGAAAATACAAGAGGTGCTATATCACCATTGTTTCTTAAAGCTGAATAGAACTCCATGGTATACATATACCACATTTCATTAATCCACTCATGAATTGATGGGCACTTGGGTAGTTTCCACAGCTTTGCAATTGTGAATTGTGCTGCTATAAACATTCAAGTGCAGGTGTCTTTTTCATAAAGTGACTTTTGATCTTTTGGGTTGATACCCAGTAGTGGAATTGCTGGATCAAATGGTAGATCTACTTGTAACAATGAGCACATTTTGTGTTTGCATATTCTTTTATGTTTAAAAAACATGATAAACAAGTAGGACTACATCAAATTAAAAAGCTCCTGCACAGTAAAGGAAACAAAATGAAAAGGCAACCTATGGCTTGGGAGAAAATTATTTGCAAGCCATATAAACCATAAGGGGTTAATATCTAAAATATATAAAGAACTCATGCAATCCAATAGCAAACCCCCAAATAATCCAATTTTAAAATGGGAAAAGGACCTGAATGGACATTTTTCCAAACAAGACATAAAAATGGCCAACAGGTACATGAAAAACTGCTCAATACCACCAATGATTGGAGAAATGCAAATCTAAACCACAATGAGATATCACTTAGTACATATTAAGAGGGTTATTATCAAAAAGACAAGATATAATACGTTTTGGTGAGGGTGTGGAGAAAAGGGAACCCTTGAACACTGTTGGTAGTACATTGATAAAACCATTACAGTAAACAGTGTGGAAATCCCTCAAAAACTCAAAAATGGAACTACTGTAAGGCCCAGCAATCCCTCTGCTCCCTCAGCCGGAGTCCGTTTCCATCCCCTACCCGTACCCAAAGGCAAGGGAATCAGCACCTCGTAGACATATCTGTGCTCCTATGTTCATTAAAGATGAAAGTCTTACTTTAGAAAAATATTCTGCTAATAATCGAAGGAGAAATGACTGAATTTGATAAAGCTATTTCCAAGCCCCTAATGTATTGATCCATCCAAACACTGACTATGAATTGCTGACAACCAGACAAGCGGTTTTTATACTCCTCCTGATGGAAGGATGCAGCAAAACTTATGAAGAATTCTGACCAAAAATCAAAAACAAAACAAAGGCTAGTCTATAGTGAACACAGGACTGTGCTAAATGGCACCACAAGAATGTTACAAGTAAACTGAGACTGTGAAGATGCTATGGGACAACAGACTCGGTTCTTTACTGAATAACGAGCAAAGAGATGAACGATAACCTGTAGGTAAAAAGATACGTAATAGGCATATCAACCATTCGAACATATGGACTTTATTTGGATATCTGATTCAGACAAACAAGCAAAAACAAAAATGTGAAAGGAAGAAAAAGAGAAAGAGAGAGAAACAAAACAGCAAACAGCACAGTGAGCCTGGAGATGGGAGGAGAGGCCCTTCCCCTGGCAGGGCAGCCTTGTGGGCCCTTCCCAGTCACACGTACCCGCTTCACCCCAGCACAGCCCTGCTGTGCCTCTGCTGCCCCCACGTGGCCGAGGGAAGGCTCGACACGAGAGCCCCACAACTAGACCAAAGCAGGAGATGAATGCCACAGTCCTCTTCCCCTTTCCACCAACTCATGGTAAGGATCTGTCTCACTCATGAATGAACATGGGGCTCCCCTGGCAGCAAGTGCCAAGGGCTGGATACAGACTCTGGCCGAGGGAGCAAGATCCGGAGAACCAGAAGCATCTCAAGCAATCCCCTCTGACAGAGGGCAGGTGGAGATAAAAAGGAAGGAAGCCTCCGGAGAACAGTGGCCAAAGGCGAGCAGGGAAACCAGATCCCAAAGTGGCATCTGAAACCAGCTCCTCTGCCTCAGGAAATCAAGGTATTGCCACACTGAGCTGGTGGTGTCTGCTCCCTGCGGGCTGTCTGTCTCACAGAGCACCTGAGGCGCGCTGCCCTTGACCAGCCATTTGAGCACGTGTTCCCAGAAGTCCAGAGGGAAATCTGGCCGGATAACTCACGAGTCTTTTAGCCTGCTATCTGAGCAACAAACCACGGAGATTCAGGAAAAGGGAGTCAAATTCATTGTTGTTATCAAATAACATGCCAAGAGATTTAACTCAATCCTTTAATATTTACAAAATTGTTATTAGGCATTAATGCTGACCATTAAAATGATTAATCAGTATTTGGCTTACCCACTAAGTCCATTTTTCTCTGCTTGATTTATTAGATCTACAATACTAATGGTGATAGGATTGTCTAATAAATAATTTTCAGAGCATAGGTACACATCATGTAAGCACACAAACACATTTCATTCTGGCTGAAATTCGCCAATAGCCAGTTTCTTAACCCTGTACCTTAACCCTTTCTTGCACGTGACCCAGGCATATATCTCATGTACTCCTCCCATATGAAGGCTCCAGAGCCACACTGCCTGGGTTCACATGCCTCTGCAGCATGTACTGCGTGACCCTGGGCAAATCACCTAGGCTTTCCCAGTCTTAGCTGCCTCCCCTATATAGCGGGGACAATAACAGTACCACCCCATAAAGCTAAATGAGTTCATAGGTGTAAAGTGCTTAAGACAGTGCCTGGCACAGCAAGTGCTAGAGAATTCATTAACTCAGTCCTATAGTTATTTTTTTCAAAATGGGTGGAGTTGAAATATAATTAATTTTTAAAAGCTAATTTAAAAAACGAACTGATTTTATTCTTTAAACTAATAAACACCATATGTTACTAAAATGAGGTGACAATGAAGTGGCCAGTGTCTCCTTGTCCACCTCTAAAGTTTGATGTCACTTTCAAGAGAATCAGACTTATCAGTCTTCTTCTCCTTGAAGCCTCTTTTTTTAACCCCCTTATAACAGTCTTTGTAGTGATCAGCCTCTTCATCAATCCTGTATCATTTAGGAAAGTAAAGAAGTAAAGAACATACATGTGTGTGTGTGCACATGTGTGCCTGTGTGCATGTGCATGTATGTGTGCATGTGTGTATGTGTGTGTGTGTGTAGCAGGAACAGGTGGGTAGAGGTCAGCCATCCTGAGCATCCTGGAACAACTAAACTTCTGATGTGATCTCCTCCACTTTTCCTCCAGCTCTCGTCTGGGATTCTGCCCCCTCTTTCCCCACCTCCAGTAGGCAGCTTGGTCAGCTCACACTCCAGCAACTCCTACCTATTGGTGTTCTCCAGAACCTCCACCTTCTTCCGAAGCTCCAAGTTCTCAGTTGAGCAAGACTCCACTCTATGAAGAAGAGAGAAAGAATAAAATTAACTATTATCAGTAAAGCAAATGCTAAGCCAGGAGCTCAGGTGGAAGTGGGGGCTATGGAGAGAAGGGGGATCACTACTCCAGAGCTTGGCCAGCCAGAGTTGGGAAGAAGGATGAAGAGACTAAAGAAAAAAAAGAACAAATGGAGGGAGCGGAGTAACAAGTTCCTCGATAATGAAAGATGAATAGGCGTGGTATAAAATATAAGCACCGCTTTTGTGTGTTACCACCTTGTTTTCTCTCACCTCTTCCCTACTGCTCTCAATATACATCATACTCCTCCCTCTATAGGACAGTGATGTAGATGCTACTGGCTGTGCTCCTGGCCATAAGGACTAATGAGAAGCCAAGGGGCTTGAGAGGGGGACAAGTGCCAGGACAAGAACCCAGGACGAGGAATCCCAATGCTAGAGCATGCAAGTACGAGAGGCAGGAAAGAGATTTTCATAGAAATATCTTGACCCTGGATGCCTAGAGAAAAGGATGGAACAGAATGGTCTACAGCTGTCCCTCAGTACCCAGGTTCCAGAACCCTTGACGCCGCATGGATACCAAAATGCATGGATGCTCAAGTCCCTGATATAAAATGGTGTAGTATTTGTATATGACCTACACACATCCTCCTGTATACTTTAAATCACCTCCAGATTACTTATTATACCTAATACACTGTAAATTCTATGTAGTTATTATACTATATTTTTATTTGTGTTATTTTTATCGTTGTATTATTTATTATTTTTTTCTGAATATTTTCAATCCATGATCAGTTGAATCCGAGGTTGTGGAACTCCTGTATATGGAGGGCTGAATGTATTTAATGCTAAATTACCAATTCTTAAAACAGGTAATAGAAATACTAAACTTTCAATAGAAATTTCTAGAACTAGCCAGGATCCACCGACCACTCCTTTACCCAGATACACATGAGGATTCATTTCTGGGGCTGAGGCCTCATGCCCATCTTAAAATGATATTAATTTGTCAACTGGAGAATTATTTTCTAGGGCTAATCTAAAATTGCATTTAATTCATATTTTTCTAACAGCCCTCTGATATTCCAGGCTTTTCAGAAGAATGAATGGTGCCTACAAATATTTTTGCAAAAAGTCACTCACCTATAGCATGAATCAGAGGGATGGAAAATAATGTCAACCTGACTTATTGGGTTCCCTGTGTGCTCTCTGTAGGGCAGGAATCCTCAAACTTTTTAAACCGGGAGCCAGTTTACTGTGCCTCAGACCGCTGGGAGGGTCGGACTATAGTTTAAAAAAATCTATGAACAAATTCCTATGCACACTGCACACATCTTATTTTGAAGTAAAAATGCAAACGGGCAAAAACACCTGCATGTGGCCCACGGGCCGTAGTTTGAGGACGCCTGCTCTAGGGAGCACGGCTAGCAGGAACTGATTAAATAGCACTGCCCCTTCCCGCCAAAACAGTGCTTCCCCTCTGAGAAGTTCCAGGAATGTGCAGGAATGTTAATATTTGTACTTGTCTGAAAGGAAGCCTTCAAGGACCCAGGGATCCTTGCCTGGAAAGAGTGTGGTTCAAACGCCTAATAAGATTTAGTGTACTTTTTACTTCTTGCTGTGCTTATTAACTTCCCCTCCAAATAACCACTAGGTGGCAGCCAAAATATGGTTGATACACCACCAGGCTTCTAAGGTGGCCAGAAAGAGGAATTCAATTGCTTCTCACCAATTCTTAGCACACTCACATTTCTCTGTGCACATCGCCCCATAAACTCAACAGTTTGTCAGCAGGCTTACTTTTTCTCCAAGCTGTCCATGTATTCTTTCTTCTTTCTCCTACTTTCCTGGGCAGAAATCTGAGAGATAAGAAGGGGGTAGATAATGATGAACTTCCAGCTTATAAGTAAACTAGTTATGTGTAAATTGGAGACAGGAAGCCATCAGCACAGAAATCACCAAAGTCCTGCTTACTTTTGTGGCTGCTTTCCATTTGTTTAAGCTGCTAGCTCATCTACTAATCTCCTCTTCCGTCCTATCTGGTTTTTTCCAGCCTACGCTCTCAGGTACTTTCCAACAAACTAGGCCCCCAGTGGAAAGGACACTGACCAGGAGCCAACAGAACATATGTACATACTATACCATTGTATAGTCTCAGATACATGAGTTTAACTCTCTGGCTCTCCATTGGCTCAACTGTGTATATAAAATAAGACAGGTAGGTTTGGTTGCATATCAACTGGCTGCTGGTTCTGAATGTGGATGATGAGTAATACTAACTAACCTCTTGCCTTCCTAACTAACTTCTTTGCCGCCTCTCTCCTGGTCTGCCTACCCCTATGTCATGCCCCTGGGCCTCAGCAGCCCCACTCAGCACTGAGGGGCTCAGGAATAGCAGACTGTTGAGCCAGATATAGACCACTGAATGGCAGAATTCTTTTTTATCATGAACCTCTACCAAGAAAAATAATTTTCAGCAAGGAAAAAAATGATCCCTTTAAAAAGTGGGCAAAAGACATGAACAGACACTTCAAAAGCAGATAGACAAATGGCCAAAAAAATATGAAAAAATGCTCAACATCACTAATCATCAGGGAAATACAAATTAAAACCACAATGAGATACCACCTTAGCCCTGTCAGAATGGTCATTATTAAAAAGTTAAAAAATAATACATGTTAGTGTGGATGCAGTGAAACAGGAACACTTATACACTATTGGTGGGAATATAAATTAGTACAACCTCTATGGAGATCAATATGGAGATTTCTCAAAGAACTATTAATAAAAGTACCTACGATTCAATCTAACAATCCCACTACTAGGTGCCTACCCAAAGGAAAAGAAGTCATTATGTCAAAAAGACACCTGCACCTGAATGTTTATCACAGCACAATTCATAATTGCAAAGATATGGAATCAACCTAAGTGCCCATGAACTGATGAGTGGATAAAGAAAGTGTGGCTATACCTATATCTATCTATCTATATATATATAATGGAGTACTACTCAGGAATAAAACAGAATGAAATAATCTTTTGCAGCAACTTGGATGGAACTGGAGGCCATTATCCTAAGTATCTCAAGAACAGAATAACAAACACCACATATACTCACTTATAAGTAGGAGCTAAATGATGGGTGTACATGATCATACAGGGTGGTATAATGGACTTTGGAGACTCGGAAGGGGAGAGGGCGGGGGGAGGATGAAGCACCAAAAATTACCTACCAGGTATAGTGTACACTATTCAAGTGATGGGTACACTAAAAGCCACTATACAATTCATCCACTATACAATTCATCCACTATACAATTATCAAAAAACCACTTGTATCTCCGAAATCTATTGCAATTTTTAAAAATGGAAAAAAAATTAAAAAATAAAACTAGAAGATGCCTCAAAAAAAGAAAAAAATTTAAGCAAGCACCTCCAATGTATTTGTATTTAGCCATAAATTACATACACATATTCTAGAGGAAACTATTATGTACACTGTAAAACTGAAATTTAAAAGGCTGAGATTAAAAAAAATAAATTTAGATGGAAGTTCTAATATTTTCCTCCCACCTGTGAATATATCATCTTAGGCCACTGGAAGGGGAATTGGAAGGGGGAGGGGACGGGAGGACATTCTCACTCAATTTCCCCTAGTCTCTGCTCACAGAGGTGCCTAGATTTGAAGTGCTCACCTTATTCTTGATTTTCCTCCGGATTTTCTTCAGGGCCTTCTCCTCTGATTTTGTTAGGGGCAGTTTGGTGGGGATGGGGTAGCCCTCAGCTATCAGAGTCCTCTTCTCCTCCTCGGTCAGGACCAGTGGGCCTGATCCCTGCAGTTTCTGTGTAGACCAAGGAGCAGAAAAGGGTCAAAGAAGAAGTGGGCACACTGAAGAATCACCTCCATCATAGGGTGATGAGGATCCATTCTAATGTCTTACAGATGGCTCAGAGAAAAGGATGCCCCGTCTGCTTTGGGGGAGAAACTGGCACTTCAAAGTGAAAGCAAAGATGGGGAAGACACTCTCATGTTGAGTGTTATAACCCAAGGATTACAGTTCAAGGGCAAAGATAAAGAAGCCACCACCCATCAACTCCCAGGAAGCACCCCACTAGCCAAAACATGAAAAACAAAAGTACAGAATTCATTTCCCACATGCCTGGACATTTCCGGGCCTTGGAGTAATGAAGGATTCACATGCACCTCTGCTTTGTGGAAGAGCTTTGTTGTTCTCCTTGTGAAAACGCCATTTTATAAGGTGCTCTCCACACAGTAGGAATCACTTCTCACCTCCACTTACAGCTAAGGGGCCATAGCTCCCAGGGGCACATCTGCAGGCACTTTCTAGGGAAGCCTCTGGCTTCAGTAGTCCCAGATTGTGCATCAGCAATGAAGATGAGAACTGTAGCTCATCTCATTTAACCCATAATAGATTGATGTGTTTCTAATTAGTCAAACAAACCAATTCCCTGTGGCATGTTAGCTCCATGCTAAATGCCATGCAGGACTCCAAACAAACCCCATCTCTCAAGTAGCTTGTGACCAAGACTGAATTGATGCCTGTGAAAGGATAAGAGTAATTAAATGCTAAACTGTAATATTAACTGAAGGTGCATTAAAAATTTGAAGAAAGAGAACATCCATATGAATTTGTGTGATCACGGAAGGTTTAAGGTAGGAGACAAGGCTTGAATTGGGACTCCTGAAAGAAAAGAGATGACTTACATAAGAAAGAGAAGGGCATTCCAAGCAAAAGGCAGGACTGAGAACAGTAACTGAAGATGCCACTCTGCCTAGAATAGGTAACGTGTTCTTGAAGTCACAGAGTGCTGGGCACATGATAATGAGTATTAGGGCTTAATAGGGAAACACAAAACGATTGCTGGGCAAGAGTATGACATGGGGAAGATTCCTCCATAAGCATGTAGAATATTAATCATGCTAGGACACACAGACATACAGGATAAAAGCTATTCTAGTAATCCAAGGAGTGAAAAGTCAGGTCTAAGCAGAGAACGTAAAGAAAGAATGGAAGAGTTAATTCCCTTGTTCTTGGTAATGGTGATATATAAGAATACGGCTACAGATCTAGAATGTGCTGGGACACAGTCAATCCAAATTTTCAAAGTTATGCTAATGGATGAATGATTCTTACAGAATTTTTAAATATCTCATTTCATTTTAATTTGCTAGTCATGATATTACAAATTCAAAAGAGTTGATTATAATGTTTAAGACCATGGAAATCATTCACTCTTTAGAACAATAAAAAATTATTCCACTTTTTTGATTGAAAAATGGCATCCTTATATAAGTAAGAGATGAACGGTGTCTCAGGATTTCTGATCTGAGTTCCTGGTTTAGGAGTCATATCACACACACAAAAGGGGCTATACTATGTTTTTGAACTTTAGGCATCAAAGAATCTAATCTCAGAGTGATTTTTAAGTTCACCAAAGACTGCTCATTTAAAATATAAAAGATATTTCTAATATGGGCTATAAGGACCACTAAAGAATGGTAAATATTTATGGCATAATTTTGAGGAGAAAAAAACAAAAATTGTTATTCCTTATGTCTATAGCTCCATAGAATAAACATGTGAATAACAACCGAAAGTGGACATGCGAGAAGGAACAGAATTGTGGTGGTGAGGTGAGATTTATGAGCAGTTCTTAAAAAATGTTCTTAAGGGTGTGGTCATCCCCCTGCTTTAGCCACTAACCAGAAACTTCTAGACAAGAGTAAAAGGCAAACGGCCTTGAGGGGCCCGATCTGAAGCCCCACGGGACAGAACAGAGAGGGTCGCGACTGTGCAGAGGCGACTGTGCAGAGGCGACTGTGCAGAGGCGCGGCGCGTACTTACGTGGGGCGCCGTGAGGAGGGGCGAGCTGGAGAGGGCGGAGGGGGCCCGGGGCGCGCCTCTGGCGGGGCTGTGCGTCTGAGGCAGGCCGAAGGGGTGCAGGCGCGGGTTGGGGCTCAGGCTGCCCTCTGAGTCACTGCCGTGACTGCTGGGAGGGGTGGGCGGTAAGTGCAGGTGGTCCCCGGGGGCTGAAGAAAAGAAACCACATTTCATCCATCCCGGACCCACAGAGAAGGACTTGGGGCTGGTGACACAAACCATGTGCATCCACGCGGCAGAACTCGGACAGTCTAATAAACGAGTGAGGGGCCCCCATGAGCAGATGTGGAAAGATCTCGAAGGAGCATTGCTAAGTGGAGGAGCGGGAGGGAAGCCAGGTGCAGACCGTGTATACAGTAGTCCTCCTTTGGTATGCAAAAGGAGAGAAAAAAATATATAGACTCATATTTGCTTACACTGGCATTAAGAAGCACCGGAAGCGTATAAAAGAAACCAATAATGGTGTGACCGAGGGCAGGCAGGCAGAAAGCAGGGTAGACTGAGTCAGGGTGTTGATAAGGCTTCCCTGTATTCTTTTCAGATAGTTTATATAGCTTGATTTGTAAACCATGTCAATGTATTATGCACTTAAAAAAAAAATCTTTTAAAAGATAGCAAAACCTGGGAGCCCATGAGGGTTCCCAATGGCTGCTCTGAAACAAGCTCATTTGTTTCTGGAGGAATGTGCTGGTCGGGCCTGCAGGCAAGGTGCCAAGCATTCTTCATTCAGCAAATACTAAACCACCTTTAGGCAGATGAGTAGCCACAGGAAAAATAAGAGGGGCAACGGGGGAGCTTTCTCCTCCAAAGTCCCCCAACACGCAAAAGTCCACCCTCTGTCCTTCCTCAGGGAAGCACAACACACCCCTCTCTGCCAGGGCCTGCGGAGCCCCGGTCGGTGTCCATCGGGCCTCTCCAGGCAGCAGGGGGAGATTCTGAAGGAAGAATCCAATCTGGATTTAATAGTGGATATTTGTGTTGTGCCAGCCACTGTTACTGAGCCAAGAGAGATAACTTCAGGTGACCCCTTCACTCTCGGGGCCCCCAGGACAATAGAGCCTTTAGAACGGCAGCTCTGCGGTGGGCATGGTGCCCGGGTGCTTCATGCACACCTGGGTCTGCTCAGTCAGAGAACTGCTGCAGGCCGCGGGAGCCTCAGCGCTTCATCTTTTCTCTCCTTCATATGGAGACTGTCGTTCTGAGACACAACTACTGACCCAGAGCTGGCCTAGGAGACGACAAGCAGCAGTCAGACAGCTCTTTCTCCTACTGAAAGACCTGAATATCCAAGGTGACAACAGGCACCGTCCCTCTCAGCCACCCCCACCCCAGCACACTTTTCTTTCTTCTCTCTCTCACTTTCTCTCTCAACATATTACTTTTATATAGATGCTTCCTCTATCCATTTTTCTCTCCAAAGTCTTGCCAAAGAGCTCCTTGGGCTTATTAATGTCTATGTGTACTCTTAAAACTAAAGAATATTCTAAAATAATCCTATGTACTCTATTCCCAACACTCCAGGCAACAGCTGCAGGCAGCTAAAGAAGGTGAGCATGTGCCTTAAATATGTATGTGCTTGGTTAGAAAGTAGGAGTCCTAAGAGTGTTAATCAAGGTTTTTCTAATGCCATGAATCTATGGCACTTTATGGTCACACACACACACACACACACACACACACACACACACACACACACACAGCAGCCAGGGAACACACTAACCTGTTAGGGGCTCCATTTTCCTGCCACTCTGTGCTGTTACATTCCCCAAAATTAGCCAAGAGTACCTAGAGCTCCCCTGTCCCTTTCACTCGGCACAGGCCAAATCATTCCAACACTGTTCTCCTTTCCAAGCAGAGGGCACCCCACAAAAAGCAGAAATTGAATGACAAGAAAAGTGAGTAAAACAAACTTGAATCTCGTCTTTCCTACCTACTGAGAGCTACTGATCTGGCCACAGGTGCCTCAGTATCAGATTTCTAAATATCATTTGAAATGCCACTCTTGGGTTACTGCAAGGTCTGGGGACAACAAGCTACTCTGCCTGGAAACTCTCATGCATTCAAGCATATTGAATTTCCTTATCTCTGTTTATCCAGGATAATGAGGAAAGACTGCCCTTTACTGTATTCTTGAAATATTTCTCCTCCAGTGACCCCGAATTCTGAAGCCACTATGGGATTCATTATTACACTTATGACACTTTCTGAACCATATTGCAACATAAGTTAAAAGAGCAAGATGCATTTGATGGTAATAACCGGTGCATAAAAATGAAAGGAATTACCTCACAGCAGTACATAAAGCTGAAAGGCTTTATGAAATAGTGTCTCAATATAGATTCTAGTCAGTTTAATCAGGATCGCCCTTTTATTTACCTTCAACTAACACAGAGAAAGAAAAATGTAAAAGTATGACAACTTCAAGTATGACACTCTTTAGTTCTAAATGCAACTCGCTGGCAAGAAGCCCAATGAGATGCATAATTAGGGGCCATGGGCATTACAATATAGGTAGGGGGCTCCTTGCAACTGCTGTCATCCAAAGTCAACATTTTAAAACACTGAATTTTATGATTCAAAAGACATGATTTAAGAACAAAAACAAAAACACTGAATTGGCCAGACAGATAAATTATGAATTCACTTTATGAAAGGTTGAAACTGGAGTTGTTTTAATGAGGCATGGCGCCTTTGTGGCTGTTTATATGCAGGGATGTATCATGTTCATACCAAGAAGGCTTAAGGGCTGCTGTTCTCTTGTATGTCAGTGCCCACATCGTAGCAGTCTATAAAGGTTTTAAAAAATCACCCTGGCTTGGAGCAAAGGTGCAGTAACATTTAGCTGGAAATCAAGCATGTGCATATATGGGAACATAATATTTAGGTTTCAAAATTTTTATATGGAAGCAAGATTTTTAAGAACAGCTATTTCATAAAGTAAGCTACATTTGTGGTACAAACTAATCCCAGCACCCTTGCCCATATTCTCTTTCTCTTTAGACTGGGCAGCTATACCTAGTAACCCGAAAGAGTACAGGGAAACCGGACAGACCTTCTTTAGGAGAGAAGTTCAGAAACTGATCCACTTCATGAGGCTCCAGCTTAATTTTAGGAATAATGGTCTGGCATGAGGAATCCACCTGAAAAAAGAATTCCAAACACAATTTTTAAAAACCAATTACAGCCTTGAAGAAACATACAGGAGAGCTATTTGTCATCTATCTCTTCCTCTTGGCACCGCCCTGCCTCTGCAGAGCACAGCTGAGCATAGGTAGCTTCTCTGATGGGGAGTCATTTTAGTTCTTAACCTTCTTCTCATTGCCAAACCTGATATTACAGCTGATGGAACCCTCAGAACCCAATAATTACAAGCCCAAGGCTCACTTATCAGTGCTTCTTTCTACTGTTTTTGTGGTACTATAAACGCATTTTATCACAAAAGATTCTGGTAATTTGTAAAGGGTCACCAGGCTCCACTAGTTTATTCTGCAGTAAGGACTAGGCATCAACCGGCATCCTTCTCCCCCAGCTACCTGATGACTGACAACATCTAACTGTGAAATAGCCAGTAGGGAACAGAGGAGTCATCTGACCCATACACAGGGAGCAAGGCCATGACCCTGAGCTTTGTTAGTTACATACTTAAAAAGCAACTGAACTAAAATCTTATGGATCCGAATTTTAAGGAGATTAATACAGACTCCAGGAGGCCAATCCAATAAAGTGACTGAGGGTGCTATGGAGACAGGAACCCTACAGGGCAGCTGCAGAAGTCTTCTGTCTATAGCCCTTTATCTTCTACACAAAGGGACTAAGAAGTGAGTATGCAGTGATGCTTCTCACTGCTTCTGTGGTTCTACTAAGTCCATGGTACCTTTTCCTGAATGGGCAGGCACTCTATCTTGCTCATAGAAAATCTGACTTAAGGAGTATTGACAGAGTTATTATTTATAACCTGAGGCTTTAAACTTAAGGAAAGTTAAGACTGGCTTCCAACTCTGTAAAAAAGATGCTCAAGTATGATTCTGGTCCATTGTCAGACACTGGAAATACTCAGAAAGAAGGTGGAATAAAATTAAATTCAATTTGCTATAGGCATGGAATCAAGCAAGGAAGAAATTCCTGATTTCTTATGCTTTCCACAGGCAACATAATAAGAATCAATAGGTGGGAGGTTGCTGCACTGAGTAAGAGCAGCTCAGCATTGCACTGGAACAGTAAAGTAAAACATTACACAGGAACTAGCATTCCCAATCGCCACACACTCTAAGCCATGGATTGCATCACTATCCTTCCACTGCTTAAAAATCAGTGCCATGGGGAATTTTTTTTTACCATGGATATTCATTTATGTTTTATATTTTGTAATAGTAATCAAAAAATTAAATCAGCTTTGCTACCAATTTTTCTGAACAATGACTTTAAATGAAGCTGATAAAAAAATCAACATACCCTTGATATACATAAATATATAGTTATATGTCCTTAAATACATACAGCCACTAACCCCCAAAAGATTAAATACCTTATGAGACAATGAGGATCTGTATCTTTTTGTCCAACCTGTTTATATGAAAGAAAATTGAGGGGAGGGGGGGAGGAGGGGATGGGTATATACAACCACAACGAGTAAGATGTGCAACATTTTGGGGGGGATGGACACACTTAAAGCTCTTACTCGAGGGGGAAGCGGGACATGGGCAATATATGTAACCTTAACACTGCACCCCCATAATACGCTAAAATAAAATAAAAAAGAAAGAAAATTGAGTATACCCCAGTATTCATTTCCAGAGGAGATTCTTCTTTCTCGAAAGGGGTGGAGATGGCTGTAATGGTCAGAGTGACAGAGGGAACAAGTCCTGGGGGAGGCTCATCTGTAATCGGTTCTGTCTTGATGGTTGTTGAAGGGAAGTCTGTAGACAGGTACCATTTCTCACTTTCCACCTCATCTGAGGGAAAAAAGAAAAGCACACGTGAACTTGTTCAGGGCATCAGGCATAAGCAGAACAAATGACCACTGATCTTTCTCCTTGAAAAAAGCTCAAGAAAGCATCATTGAGAGTAGAATAAAAGGAAATAACGTGAGCATGTGAGAGAGGAGATAAACGGAAATGACTGGCAAAGTGAGAATCTACACTTGCATTCGCTTGCTTGTGAGTATCTATAAGGCAGCTCTGGAAAGAACACTTATGAAAAAAAGAAACCTGGCTTCCTGGGCAGGCAGGAGACTGGGCCCCTGGGGAACAGGACAGGATGGAGGATGTTGAATGTGCAATGAGTTAGACTTTTTGGTTTTCAAATCAAGAGAATGTATTATCTATTCAAAAATAAATAAATAAGCACATTTAAAAACCAGAAAGAAACAAGCAAATGATTGGCAACTGAGGGCCCAAGAGAGAGGATGGGGGAGAATGGTGAGTAGATCTCTCTCCTTCTCCCCAGTGGAAAGTTATTTGGCTTCTTGGTATTTTCCTTCTCACTCCATTTTTTTGTTGGTGGTGGCTGGTTTTTTGTTTGTTTGTTTTGTCCTCTTCTGCTTTCCCTGTGATGCCACCTATGCCTTAAACCTAACTTAGAACTCTGGGGACTTCAGCGCTTTGAGAGGTTTCAGAATCTGTAACAACCATTCGCCCTTTGCTGAAATGGACTAAATTCCCCTCCAGGGAAAAGGGCTAGGGCTTGGTGAGTCTGGGTCTTGTCTTGCCACAGGTTTTCCTGATGATCAACAGGCCTGGGGCTAGATAACAACCAAGCATCCAGACAGAACAGACAGAGCCTCTCTATCACTTAATGCTGACATGGACTTGTACCGTGGCCTGTTAGGAACCAGGCCACACAGCAGGAGGTGAGTGGCAGGTGAGCGAGCAAAGCTTCATCTGTATCTATAGCCGCTCCCCACTGCTTGTATCTCCACATAAGCTCTGCCTCCCATCAGATCAGCCTCAGCATTAGATTCTCATTGGAGTATGAACCCTACTATAAACTGTGCATGCGAGGGATCTAGGTTGTGCACTCCTGATGAGAATCTAATGCCTGGTGACCTGAGGTGGAGCTGAGGCGGTGATGCTAGCGCTGGGGAGTAGCTGCAAATACAGATTGTCATTAGCAGAAAGGTTTGAATGTACAATAAATATAACCTGCTTGAATTGTCCTGAAACCATCCCCATACCCCCTACCTCCCATACTCCCACTACCCCACTATCCCAACCCCCCCTCCTACCCCCATCCATGGAAAAATTGTCTTCCATGAAACCGGTCCCTGGTGCCGAAAAGGTTGGGGACTGTTGACCTAATGCATATCCTTCTTGGGGTCTAAGCAGTAGTGTGTTTTTCTTACCAAATTACTTAGGGGCTAGCACCTCAGCACAGCCCTGGAAAAGCAGGAAGGAGGAGAGGAAAGGAAAGGAACAGAAAGTTGGAAACAGACACAGAGCAATAAAAAACCAGCCCGTGGATCCCCAAATCTACATTCCTTATTTGATACCAGTTTTACTAAAATGAGGCTAAAATAAAAGCGAAGATATGTTCCTCTGCTTTATGAAAATGTTTAAACACACACACCACATTCTTCACTTGATTAGAGACCCACTACTCTTCAGGGAAGAAAAGTCATCCACATTATGAAATTACTTTACACTTGAGAAATTGACTCCAGTTTCCTTATGAAAAGCTACATGGAAATCATTCAGAATTGCTAGGGGGAGGGAAAGGGCGGACACAGAAACTAAAAACTAAAGTTCACAATTATTAAAATGGCATTTCATAAGCAACTTCCTCCAAGCACAGAAAAAGTTAGGTTCACATTCACAAAGGAAAATGATTTTTCCCCTAAATCCAATTTATAATTCACTTGATGAATTATTCCAGCCCCAATTTATTTCCTGAGGCAAAATAAAGATGGGCAAGACTTCTGTTGGTGGAAGATGTTTTGCTTTTGGAGCAGGGCTGCTGAGGGCTGTGCTGTGATGAGGGATTTCCATCATTTACGGGGTGTGGGCGGCATCCTGGTGGAGGGGCAGGGCTCATGTACAAAGGCCCTTCTGATGCTGGCCAGAGGGGGGAGACCACTCTGTACTTGACACAGACGGCACCCCAGCTCGGCCCAGAGAAGTGACTGGACCAAGAGCCAAGATTCTAATGCCTCTCCCAAAAGGAGCCTAGGAACTAGAAGACTCTGTCTCCTGTAAGAAAGACACACTTAGGACAGAGTTGGGTAAGGGTTGGGGAGAGGGAGACAGAGAGAGAGAGAGAGAGGGAGAGAGAGAGAGAGAGAGAGAGAGAGAGACAGTAGATCCCACTGTCTCTACTCAGCAGTGACATGTTGATGCCTCTGCTTTTTGAAGTCAGCATTTAAAGCCTGCCCAAATTGAGCAATATTTATTCCTGGCGGAGGCTGGAAGAGAGATAGATGAAATATAGCCTCAATCCATATTGAAATGAATGGTAGGGAGGCACCCCAGAGAAAAAGGTGGTACACAAGTACCAGGAAATTGTGGGAGAAGGCCAGATCCCCTGACTGTGCAGTAAAGGTAACTGTGAAGAAACTTTATGTATAAGGCAAACAAAAGATAAGGCAAAAATAAATATAAAAAGGGAATATAAAATTGTAAGACAAAATGAAGACAGATAATGTAACCAGTTCTTCCGACCTAGTGAGGCCATTCTCAAAGCATGCACTCTCATAAACGGGTCAGGGCAGTTTATATTTTTAATGCTCGTGTCCCATAGCCCTCTTTAAAAACAAACAAATATCATTACTGCCATCTCAGGGAATGGAGGCTGCAAGGCAAACAGTGACACCTGAACTGCAAAAGGAAACCTCTTCTCTCAAAGACAACTGAACGCTTCCAAGTGAGATGCCCAAGGGAGCTCCTCTCCTCCTCTGAGCTTTTCTGAGGACAAACAACGGTGTTGCCTTCGTGTTTCCATGCCGACACAGCAATTCAGTCCTCTATCCTGAAAGATGTGTTAGAGTTAGAAAGAAGTTTAAGGCCACCAAGCTCAAAGACATCACTTTACAGATGAGGAAAATGACACGCAGGCCTAGGTCATACCACAAACTACTGGGAGAACCCAGAACTCTGCACTCCAGCCAGTACTCTCTCCTTAAGGAAATAACTCAACTTGTGGATAAAGATTTATGCACAAATATGCTTACTGGGGCATTATTTATAATCACAAAACACTGGAAACATTGTTTCCAAAACATTGAAGAGCAAGGGAAAGGTTAAGTTAGTGATGATGTATCCATACAATGGAATATCTATGCAGACATTAATATTGCATTTATAAAGCCTTTTTAATAATAAAGGAAAGGTTTACGATAGAATATTAAGAAAAAACCCCAGATATAAATTTATATACCATTAATGAAGAAAGTGTTAGAGAAAAAGGAAATATGCCAAATAGTAAGCATATATCTGGATAATCATTCAGAACGTGTATGACTTTTTTTTTTTCTTTTTCTTCAAATTTCCGATACTGGGAAACTTTTGTCCTTGGATAAACACACATGGACACAGCCTGCTTCTGCCTGCTCTACTTTATGCCTTTGGGTGGTAATTATTGGATAGAAGCTCCAATGGCTCCTTTGACTAAATAAAAGTCTATGAGTACCTTAATATATGTAAATAAGTTGCATTCCTGTCTCCAGGTCTTCATCCTCCCACCATCCATATCTTTTGCCTTGTAATTTTGGGGTGTTTTCCCCACTGTGGGATGCTCCCCACTCTGGACTTGGCCATGTGACTTGATTTATAGCCAATGGCATGTTAGCTTCTTAACTCTTGAAATGTGTTTGCAGGACTGGTCTTAAGCATCTATAGTTTTGCCCTGACCATGAGAAAGATGTTCCAGGATAATCTGCTGATCTCAGGAGAAGGAAACAGACACACAGAACAGAGTCACCTGCAGATGAGCTTAGCCAAGATCAGCCAACTCTCAGATAGCCTTGGAGATGTGAGTAAGTCTAGCTGAAACTAGAGGAATCACTCAGCTGACCTCCACACAGATCAGCCAACCCCCAGCCTAGGAACAGACACATGAACTACATGATCATTGTTTAAGCTACTAAGTTTTGGGGTAGTTTGTTATTCAGCAACATAGCTAGCAGATATGGCTGAACATATGAACAAGAAATTAAATCCATTACATCTCAATCTATTGCAACAAAATAATTGCATTCGTTTTCAAAATAATTCCTCTAAAGCATCAACTGTGAATCATAGCAATAAATATTTATAGATTGGATGATTAGATTAGATTGGCCTACCAGTTATATCATAAAATAAATGACTTCATATGAAAAAAATCAGCCAGTAAGTAGTTTGGTGAGAACAACATTCCAGTGGTAGTTGAAATTAGAGAAAAGAGCTCTCATTCTGGACTACTGGGTGTTGGCTTATACTCTGTCCCTCAATGGAAATAAATATCAAATAAGAGAACACAGACTGACAAACCCATGAAGTAGGGGTTAACAAAGGATAGAGTGAAAGAGAAGGAATAAAATATGTATTACAGTCTTTCTACATGACCTTATTTTTGTAGTTTAATTTTATTGGCAAAAAGATCAGTAAGGCCACCATGGCTTAGAACTGGAATTATCCTTGGATGTCTTAGTTATTGGCTAAACTACAAAAGCAAGAGCCAGTAGATACTCTACACCCTCTAATTTCTAAAACTTGAAGCTCAGATACTGAGTGAAAAAAAAAATGTTGTTTCTAAATTGCCTTTATACGCCTTTTAAGTTTCATTTCAGATGAAAAACATCCGCTGATAAGTTTAGTTGTGCATACTGCAAAGAGTAAGAACAACCCCCCCCATCATCTGATTCATTTAAGCAGCTTCCTGTCAGAGGTCAAACTAAACTGGCACATTTCCTTGGCATCACCACTTAGCTATCAGCAAGAAAACAAAAACAAGCCACTGTCTCATGGTGGGAAGCAAGTCC